CGGTCGAAATCTGGTTCTCTTGTGCGACATTGTATGATGTTTATTTTCGAATTAAGTGATTTTTCGTATCGATATTTTCTTCACAGCGACGAGTTTCTTTAAACTTACATATCTCACATATCTGTGTCTAATTATTGTCTTCGACAAAATGCATCACTGTAAAGATCGAACGTTCTAGTTGACTGCTGGGATGGTACGAAGCGGGGCCCTTCAGAAGCAGAGATCGTCATCTATCATGGATACACAATGACGACAAAACTGAACCTTCGCGACGTTCTGCAGACGATCAAGGAGTACGCGTTCGTGACGTCTGAGTACCCGGTAATTTTGTCGATCGAGGACAACTGCACCCTACAGTTCCAGAGGCAACTGGCGTTGGACTTGAAGGAGATCCTTGGAGGTAGGTGGCTAATTGTGACTGTCGTAATCGTGTTGGTATCGCTGATTTCGACTGCTTTCTTGGCATGTCGTTGACATAATGGCATTACTTCATTTACCTTGGATCTTTAATTCTCTTGCAGATATGCTGTTGACATCGCCGATCGACAAAGAGGCAACGAAACTCCCATCACCGAATCAACTGCTTCGAAAAATAATTGTCAAGCATAAGAAGCTGCCAACGGAAGCAGAGTGCCGCATGAATTCGACGTCTTATTCTTCATCAGTGGATGAATGTAAGCAACGCTTTTATCGGTGATTTGGATTTTCATATTCATCATCCTTTAGCATTCCAAGACCAGGATCTGCTTGCATTACCGGACATTCAGAAAAAAGGAGTTCTTCACATCCGGCATCCGGAAACGAACGTATGCTTTGTATTGAAAGTTACTAATGTGATAAATTCCGATCTCTCGAGCTCTTGAAATGTTTCCGCTGACAGGCCATACATATTGTGCAATTATGATTGAATTTCAACTGCCCTACCAGTCTTATCGGATATCATAGTAACATAACTATTTCCTATGTACTCATAAGTCAAAAGTTAAAGATGATCACCAGAAATCCTATTTTTCGGCATAGGGAAAAGTGATCCCAATTAAACAATAAGTAATAAAATTAATTATGTTACGTCGTGTGCAAATGTATGAAAATAATTGCTGTAGCCGAGCTCATTGTATAATAATTATAACATGAAGAAATGAAGTAGGCGTTATTTCGTTGTTAGTGAAGATAGAATATCAGGATGATGCTTCTTTATATATGTTAGCAGACAGTAACATATTTGCAGGTGCTTTAACAGTTTTTTGATCGATCCAGTGCAGTGGTTCGGGTTTGCATCATACATTATATGTGCTAAAATTCCATGGAACTCTGACCCGTATAAACGGTCCTTTAGGCTAGTAAAACCTATGACGACAATGAGACTCGCCGTATAAGCCTTGGTTGACTAGAGATTCTATTCTTACAGGCGGTAGCGAAACCCAGTGGGTTATTGTTATTATGATGTTTCTGTTTGCCTTATTACTCTGACTTTGCGAGTAGTAGAAAACAATATAGCAAAGGAATGTATGCAAAAACAACACAGTCAGATGGTTAGGGCATCTGTAGCTTAGCCCAAACCTCACATGCTCAGGTGCTACTGCAAGAAACTAAACACGGCATAAGAAGGTTCAGTGGCTAACACATGACATGGCAGGTAACACTTAAAAGCATCTGTCATTGATGAGGGATCTTCCTTCTTTCACGTAGCAAGCTTCTTCTAATGTCAAAAACTCGAAACCTGGAGCCGATTATTCATCGCACATCATAAGCAGTGCGATTTTGCTATGTGGTTTAAGACTACGATAAATAATAGACGATGATGATGAATGCCATGGTAAAGTCCACCAATCGAGGTAATCGCTAACATGTTTATGTCGTTGCTCATTTCGGTTTCGTTGTTGACGTTGCCGAAGATTCTTGTTTTCTTTGTTGATGAATGTACACAGACTCCATTACATATGTTCAAGTTCTATTCTTGATCGCCATATGAAACTGGGCTTGATTTTCGGGCCATACTTATTCAAATTTTAGCTTTTATTTGTATGCAGCCAAAATGATTTTTATATTTGGCATTTGGGAACAACTTTTTTCCAGTGTCACATGTAAATTATTCCTCGTAATTCGAATGTTTGTTCAGGCATTCAAAGCACTTATGTACTCATTAATTGCTAATTAGTTATGCAGCTGTCTGCAAGCATTCCATGATTGGTGACAGAAGAAAGGATCAGTGCTCATAGTCTCAGCAAACTATTTTTGGCAGGAGCACTTTCCAACCAATATGTAGCTGATCTGCGCGTAAATTATTCAATTTAAAAACCGAACACAAACGGAAACTGATTAGTATAATTATTTTGTCTTTTCTCGATTCATGAAATTAACTAGCAATCACGAAGTGCTCAAGTATTGCAGATTTATTGGACGTTTCATCGACCCAAAAAAACGGAAAATAACGAACATGGAATACGAGGTCCAGTGTCATGCGACATGAGATCCGTTATAACAGCATCTACATTAGAAAAACTGTAAAAAGACTGCACGAAAGAATCGCCGAATATGCAAAATATGTTTGAACAGCTTTGAAAGATGAGGAGGTGGAGCACGTCGGCATTGTTTTGAATGCTTTCACCCTGGACACTGGTTTAGACCAACGAATATCGCTTGCATGGACGGAATACACAGTCTGACTGCGACTTATTTACTAATCAGTCAATCATTGTTAGCACAATTCAAATCTGTAACGAATGTACTAACTCGCTTAATTTGAGTGACAGCTGAAATGTCATTGGAGATCTTGTTCCCAACATAAATGAGATAACTGATTCGATCATTCTGATGCGTTCGTGGTCGTATCTGCTTCAGTTATGTTTTACAGTGATGAAAATTGGCGGTGAACAGCTTGAAAACGCATTTATAAACAATGCTAGTTAACGTGATCCAAGTAACTTGTTGCTTTGAATCATAAATTAACAATAGAAAAGGCATCATCGTGTTTCAGACAGGCAAAAAATCGTCCTCCCCGGTCTTTTTGTTATTTTTGTCATCCGTAGTTAGGTGGCAGCAGTCAGCTTATTAAACGGAGTCTCTTGCTATTGTTAAAAGAAAAGGTAGTTCTAAACCGGGATACAGAAAGAATTAATTTTTCGTTTGACTTTTATTATCATTAATCCTAGTACCTGAGCATTGAAGCAGGCCATGCAAAGGAGAATTACAGGGCTCGCTTTCTAATATTGATAGTGAAAATTAAAGAAATACTTAAAAGTACTGATTGTGAAGTTGCAGTCAGGGTGCCAGTCTGATTTCTGACGAATGAGGTTAGGGGAATCGGTAGAGGGTACTTGGTAGTATCTGTTTTACTAACAACTATTCGGTTACCACTCCTCTTTGCCATTGCATTACTCGTTATTTTATCGTTTTGGATGTTGTTCGCATGGGCGGTCCACCCTTATGAGGTATTATGGATGATACTGTCATTTTTTGTGATAAGGAAAAGAAAAGGTATATTTTCACCATTGGAATGCCCGTTTTCCTTCACTTTCATCGTTGAGCCGTTATGGCTACCTGCTTTTCATAGAGTTGATGGAACGGTGATGTTCTTCGTTTCCATATCATCAGCCAGAAGTGCCTTATTTTCAGAGCAGAGTCTACAGCCCTGTGGCAAACTTAGCTTGCAGACTTCTGTTTCCTTCGCACAGAATGTTATTCATTACCGAACTTAGAAGGAAGAAGGCCGAATTATTCTGACCAAGTTTTGAGCTCATGACCTAGAGGTTCCCAGTGCGATGCTGTACAGACTGAGTAACCGGTCTGAAGCAATGCATGATAAATTCATTGCTCAAGGGAGTTCCTGAATAAAACAAAGATTGCCCTCGAACAGAATCAAACGCATCACCTCCGGAG